TGAGACTTTGTTGTGAGATAACTGATACATTATCCTTCATCTTACAAGTATGCCCTTTACTCATTGCTTAAATATTTCGTTTAATTAAAACTTTAATCTTGTTAAATGTAATAGTAATTTCAATTACCCAGATTAGTTGAAGGCCCAATAAAATTCTTTTCTTACTGCTTTGGGATTACTTCTAAAGAACACATGGTCCAGATTTTTCTTTTCTTTTTTTTTTTCTTTTTAAGAGATGGGGGGCGGTCTCACTATATTGCCCAGGCTGGTCTCAAACTCCTGGGCTCAAACAATCCTCCGCCTCAGGCTCCCAAACTGCTAAGATTACATGTGTGAGCCACTGTGCCCAGCTCCCAAATTTCTATTAATTTGTTTTTTGTTTTTTAATTCCTTGACTTAATGAACATTTATTGAGCATTCCTTGTATCTGGTGTTCTGCAAGGGGAGTGATAATACAAGAGTAAGCAAAATAGGCACAGCATCTACTATTACAGAGCTTACAACTGGAGGTAACAGACATTAAACAATGATTTACAAGTGTAAAAGATTTGCAAATGGCATGAAAAATAAGGGAAGAGTCTACCGAAACATCTAATCAGTTTGGCCAACTTAGCCTGATGTTTGGGGGCTGGGGAGTAGACAAAGCTTATTCACAAAAGTTCAGGTTTAGGCTTGAAGCATAGGAAGACAGAGGAGTCGTCTGTGGAGAAGAATTGCCTAGATAGAGGGAACAACTTATGTAAAGGCTCTGAGAAGAAAGGAACACTGCCTATTCGAGGACTTAACAGAAGGACACTATAGCTAGAGTGGTGATACCAGTGGGTAGGGAGGGGTGTCAGTGAAAACGCAGGCAGAGACCAGAACACAGGTCATTCTAAGGATTGGAAACTTTATCCTAAGGGTAATGGAAAGGTAATGGAGACTTAAAGCCAGGAGAAAAAAACTTTTTAAAAAGCTTAACATAGCTAAAATGTGGAATACATGTACACATTAATTTACTATTTAATTTGTTCCAGAATGTGTTCTTACATCTTAATCCAATAATATTAAGATTTTTTTTTTAAAGCTGGAATCTTGCTATGTTGCCCAGGCTGGCCCCAAACTTGTGGGCTCAATTGATCCTCCTGCCTCAGCCTCCTGAGTAGCTGAGATTATAGGCACCTGCCACTGTGCCAGGCTAATCTTAAGAATTTTTACAAATATGACTGGATGATGTGACTCACCTGTAATGCCATTACTTTTGGAAGCTGAGGCAGGAGGACTGTTTGAGCCCTGAAGTTTAAGACCAGCTTAGGCAACATAAGGAGACCTCTGTGTTTCCAAAAAAAAAAATTAGCTGGGCATGGTGAGGCTAGCCTGTAGTCCCAGTTACTCAAGAGGCTGGAGCAGGAGGATTACCTGAGCCCAGGAGGTTAAGGCTGCAGTGAGCTATGATCATGCCACTATACTACAGCCTGGGCAACAGAGTGAGAACTTGTCTCAAAAAAAGAAGGAAGAAGAAGGAAGAAAGAGGAAGAAGGAGGATGGAGAAGAAGGAGAAGAAGGAGGAGGAGGAGGAGGAGGAGGAAGAGGAGGAAGAGGAAGGGGAGGAGGAGGAGGAGGAGGAGGAGGAGGAGGAGGAGGAGGAGGGACAACTTCTTTTACAAGTATGGGACAAACTATCCAGGTTTTTGATACGTAAAAGTTTTCCGAGAATAGAAAAGACCCTGGGATTATTAAGCACAGCAAAAAAGTGCTTGGATACATGTTCTTATTATGCCTTGAAGTGATGGACTTAAGTCCTAAGTTTCTTTGCTTTTCATCTTTATCACATTTTAACTTGAATTGCAAATGAAATTGTCACAATAGTAATGTCAGGGAAAGGAGGAAGGTATGTGTTAGTCTGTTTTCACACCACTATAAATATACTACCCGAGACTGGGTAATTTATAAGCAAAGGAGGTTTAATTGACTCACAATTCTGCATGGTTGGGGAGGCCTCAGGAAACTTACAACCATGGTGGAAGGGGAAATAGGCACCTTCTTCACGAAGCAGAATGAGAGGGACGAATGAAGGGGGAACTTCCAAACACTTATAAAACCATAAGATCTCTTGAGAACTCACCCACTATCATGAGAACAGTATGGGGGAAACCACTCCCATGATCCAATCACCTCCCTCCCTCAACGTGTAGGAATTACAGGTCCCTCCCGCAACATGTGGGCATCACAAATTGACGTGAGATTTGGGCGGGCACACAGCTAAACCATATCAGTGTGTGCACATGTTTATGTATGTATATGTTTCCCATGGTTTTGAAGAACAGATTTATGACAATGAATATCAGTATCACATTCTTTGTGCTCCAAAGTAGTATCTACCTGATAAAAGGAAAGTAGAAACTAGAAAATATTAAAAGATTATGTTACGTTAGTCGGGTGTTTTAAGAAAAATATATGGCAACTTCTGGGTAACTCTACAGACTTTGACATTAAATAAGTTGCTGTTAGATTAGGGACCCCAACATGATTTCAGTAAGTACTGTGCTTGGAATAGTAAAGAGATTCATGAATACTAAAGCCTTCTGCCAATAAAGTAAGAGAGGCTAGGGTTTTTATTTTGTTTTTTCAATGCTTTTCAGTCTTCCCCATGAGCATGTCTTCTTGTCTTCTCCAGATTGTCTGTGTCCATTAAATAAACAGATAGGAATTTCAGGTGTGGTAATTTCTCAGAGGTATTTGCTTATTGGGAGTTGGGGGAAACCTTGAAGATAATAAGGTTTCCCTTAGTAAATATTAGGAGAATGGAGAAGTGAAGGGGGAGAGAGAGCTCTTAATATCATTCCCCAAGTGTCACCTGACTGCCTCCCAAATCAGAAGTTTCTTTTCTTCAATCTTGGACTGCAATGCTTCCTGACTATTCTTCAGGCTAAATGACTCCCTCTTTGGAGTGAATGAATAAATATACAGTTGGCAAACTGTTTGAAAAAGACTACTGACCCTTGATCTAAGAAATCTTGAGCAACAGGAGACCTGAATTTAAATATCAATTTGTATCTGACTCACTATTTGAAGAGAATAAATCACTCATTTGATTGAATCACTTAACTCTATGGTCTGAGGTGTGGTACTGACTAGCTTCTCACACATCGTGTACTGAGTATGCAATTGATAATAAATGTGTCTGTACTTTGATGAGGATGATTGATCAAGTTCCTAATTGTGCATGGGATTTAGAAACATTCAGAATATGTAGGCTAAATATTAAAACAAATCGGGGCTTGTTATGATGTAATGGAACAGGCTGTATATTATTGCAAATAGGGTGGAGGCCTGCTGAGTATTAATTGTCAGGTTACCAAAGCTCTGGGTAAATTTGGTAAGAGTGTTAAGAGTAGCTTCTCAGCAAGTACTCAGTGTTTGATTGAAAAGAGCCCATTGTATTTACTTGGACAGAAGTGTGGTTATATTCGGCTGTTTTATGTGATAAAATGTTTTTGAAAAGTTTTAAATCTCTAGCATCTGACTCACAATGTCCTGATAATGTGTTCTTTTCTGTAATCAGAGTCATGAATAAAGAAATCTATCTTCTAGCACTGGATGACAATAGAGTTGAAGGTGAGTTCAGACCTATGAGTATTATAGACAAAGACTAGATTGAGAGCTGGGTACAATGACTCACACCTAAAATCCCAGCTATTTGTGAGGCTGAGGCAGGAGGACTGCTTGTGATCAGGGGTTAGAGATCAGCCTGGGCAATAGAGTGAGACTGTATTGTATCTCTATTAAAAAGAAAAAAAAGACTAGAGTATTCTTTTTTTAAAAAAATAATGTTATGCTGTAGTAGTTCTATTTTACTCATTTTAGCTTGATATAAAAGAGCAAAAGGGGATGGGCATGGTGGCTCACACCTGTAGTCCCAGCACTTTTGGAGGCCGAGGCAAGTTGGATCACTTGAAGTCAGGAGTTCAAAACTAGCCCAGCCAACATGCTAAGCCTTGTTTCTACCGAAAATACAAAAATTAGCCAGCCATGGCGGCACGCGCCTGTATTCCCAGCTACTTGGGAGGCTGAGGCACAAGAATTGCCTGAACTCAGGAGGCAGAGGTCGCAATGAGTTGAAATTGTGCCACTGCACTCCAAACAAAAAAAAAGGCAAAAGGGTATGTCATCATTAAAGGTCACAGGAAGCCTATAACAGGAAATGTTTCCTTTGGTCAAAGAGCAAACTGAAGTTCAGATACCAAGATGGCAGAGTTGGAATGCATACTCAGGTCTGTTAGCTTATGATCTTTCCATGAAATCACTTAGCCAGAAAGACAAACCCAAAAACTTAAAATCTGGTAGGATTAAAGTAAGTAAGGAAGCTTCTCTTTAATTTCTTTTGGTTTAGATGTAATCTTATATCTGCAGGGGAAAAAGGTGAACAGTATCTATCGCAGAAAGACGTCTGTATCCTACAAGTTTGTTGATTGGGGCAAGTAGACATAGACGAAACTGGAAAATGTGTATTAAACAGTATATAAATAGAAGGTAATAATATTTCTGAGTCCTATTGATTTTTGAAAGTAATTTTAATATTAGTATCAAAAGTCTAATCTCTAAAATATAAACGCTACTATTCAAGAGGCTTGTAAAATTCTTAGGAAAGCTGCTATAAAACACAGAGTTTTTTGTTTGTTTGTTTGTTTGTTTTTTGAGACAGAGTTTCGCTCTTGTTACCCAGGCTGGAGTGCAATGGCGCGATCTCGGCTCACCGCAACCTCCGCCTCCTGGGTTCAGGCAATTCTCCTGCCTCAGCCTCCTGAGTAGCTGGGATTACAGGCATGCGCCACCATGCCCAACTAATGTTTTGTATTTTTAGTAGAGACGGGGTTTCACCATGTTGACCAGGGTGGTCTCGATCTCTGGACCTCGTGATCCACCCGCCTCGGCCTCCCAAAGTGCTGGGATTACACCGCGCCCGGCCAAAACACAGAGTTTATTATTTCTTACCTCATGTGTTCCTACTTTGTTCTTACCTCAATTACGGTATCCCTTATATTGTATCCTAATCGTTACTCTGAAATCTCTACCAGCAAGTGGGTTCTTCAAGACAGGGACCAGGTCTCTTTCATTGTGGTTTCCATCATAACCTGGACGGTGTCTGAAATATAATAAGCACTCAGTAAATGTTTATGGAATAAATAAACCAGCAAACCGTAACAAAAGGATTCATCTTTCTGATCCGTTTCTCTATCTCCAAAATGAGAAGACAGTAGTAATATTTTCCTCGATTGATTATTAGGAACCGACCATATCTGTTCATATACTCTCTACTGGAGTCTATGTGCAACAGACATAAATGGCTATTACCTTGATTAGTAAGGGGGTAATTATTACAATTTTTATTCTAGTTGAAATCTTTAAAAAATCTAATCATTATACTATCACTCTTTAAGTTAAAAAAAAAAAAGAGAGAAAAGTCTTTAAATTAAAAAAAGAGAGAGAAAAAAGAAAAATATCTAACCAATAAATTTTAGGAAAGAAATGTAGGTTATTTGAGGTAATAGGTAGTAGGACTCTATCCCTGGGCACTCAGGGTAGAAGGAAGAGCAGAATCCCACCGCGGAGATGAGAATCATCCCTCACTAGGTGGCTCCCTTTCCCGCGGGTGGGTGGCGCGTCGGTGCCGGGCCGGTGATTGGGGGCATTGTACTGCCGCAAGCGCCGCGCTGACGTCACGCCGCATCATACCAGGCGCTGGCAACACGAGGGGCATAGTCCGGTTTCTACTTCGTTAATGACAATCTGTCCTTGGAATTTATTTCAAAGCAGGTTCTACTTTCGTTTCCGCTAAACTTATACCTGATGTTTCAAATGAACATTGGCATAGTTTGATTGGTGCAGGTCTCAGGGAAGGATCTTGAAAGTGCCTCTTCAGATGGCATGGAAAAAGACAGCAGGAATCATGCAGCCATATCGGACCAAACCAAACCAGAACAGCCCATTAAAATTCTGATTTTAACTATCCTATGAGGGCTGCGTTCTTGGAAGGTTTTATACAGCGACATATCCTGAAGTACTTTGGGATAGCTGCTTAAATGACTCCACGATACGAACTGAAAATATAACTTGTAAAATGTCAATTTCTTCAAGCCACGGATGATGAATTTTCCAGCTATTTCCCATACACTCCATATTATTATTGACTTCATTCTTTATTTCAGCTTTTTGGCCCGAAACCCGACATAAAACAATAAATATCCAAAAAGATCTTTTCTAAGAATGAAACTTCCTTTCCCAGACTCCTTTCATCAGACAGGTGTATCTAGGGTTCTTCTTGATAGTTATTTTATCCAATGATTTCCTCTCTCACCCAACGACATAGAATGACGAGTTTTAAAACACTGCAGACCCGTGAGAGGAGAAAGGCTGCAGAGGAGAGAGGAACGTGGAGGTCTGCCTCCAATAATCAAGCGAGATCCCCACTGTGGGGTGCCTATCAGAGTGATGGCGATAGTCAGTCTTGCTGCTCGTCCCCAACTTAAACGATAGAAAACCACGTGTTAGCCTTCTAGGATGTGTTCCCACCCTCACCCTGGCCTCCCCGCGGCAGGCTCGCAACCGCTAGGTCAAGAGGGAGTACGCGGGTGGGGTGGATTTGGGGGAGGGGTCGACCCGCCAGGAGAAGTCGGCTATCCCCGTCGGCAGGGGAGGCATCGCGGCTGTCGTGTGCCGCTCTCCTCCCTCAGGGACCCCGTCCTGGCGGGATCCCGCCTCCCAGAGCCCAGTGCAGTTGCGGGGAAAACCCCTCGCCATTCCTCGCCGCTTGGTGCGGCCGCCTCGCCCTCACGACTCCAGTCCTTCCAGTCCGCCGCCCGCGAGCCTCCAGGCCATGCATCTTCTTTGCAGGCCCAGCCCTCTCCACGCCTGGCTCTGAGAGGAAACTATGGCGGTGGTTCCCGCCCGCAGGCGGGTGGAAAAGCCCACGGTGAACGCCTCGGGGTGTCCCCCGAATCGCTGTGGGAAGCGGGAAGGGAGGAGTAAGTGGACTTCATCACCGGGGATAACAACCTCGATTCCCAACTTGGGAGAGGCCTTTAGATGGAAGAGATGCCAACGGGGAACCCTGGGCGGTTTCCTGGGAATCCATTCGCCGAGGGGAGGGTCACCCCGTCCGCACACATCGGTTACTATGACAATACAACCACAGCCTCCAGTTGCCATGGCAGCTGCCTAACCAATCCGATTGGTTTCCTTTCTCTTCCTCTTCGGGCCCCACCCTATCCCCTCTAACAGTCTCCCAGCGTGCTTGGGGAGGGGCTGCAGAGAAGAGGAGGGGGTCCTTCGAGTCACTGTCTACGCGCGAGGGAAGACAGGAGTCGAGGGACTGCCGGGCGGAACTGTAGGAGGAAGGGGCGGCGTTTCCGGCGGAGAAGAGTGAAGGCGTGCAAAAAGGAAAAGGGAAATCGGCCGGAGTGATAAGAAGGGGGAAGACTTTGAGCGTAACTCCCGGTTCTTTCGGGTTCGATGTTCTCGGTGGTGTTGGGATTGCCCTCTTGCGCGGGAGGAGAGGAGTGGATTGGCAGGAAGCCACCAAGCGCCACCAGCAGGTCGCTCAGAAGCCGCACAGGCGCCACACAGCTCGTTGATCCCAAAGGGGAGCGCTACAGAGAGGCGGAAATCACCGGGAGAGACAGGCGCTGCTGAAATCTCGCGAGAGGGACCCCCCTCCTCCTCGCCGCTGACTTCCTTCCTCAGCTTCTCCTCTTTCCCCCGCCCCCTCCCTTCACCCTCTCCCTCCCCCCCGGTCGGAGTGTCCCTGCGCCCCACGGGCCGGAGCAGCAGCGAGAGCAGCTTTCCCCGCTCCCTCCCCCCTCGCCTCATTCACTCCCCCCCCTGCCCGCCCCCCCCCCGCCGTGCGAGGAGGAGCCGGAGGAGAGGAAGATGGCGGCGGCCGCCAGCACCCGCGGTGCCGCGGGGCCGCTCCGAGGAGCCTGAGAGACCCACGGAGGCTTCGCGGGAAGACGCGGCGGCGGAGGATGAGCCTGCAGAGCGCGCAGTACCTCCGGTGAGTGCCAAGACCGGCCCGGTACGTAGAGGGAGCGGGCCGAGGGTTGGGGCATGGAGCGACAGACACCGAGGTGGTAAGTCCGGGGTGGCGGGGGAGTTGCTGCGTCCTCTCCTCGCCTGGCAGGGCGGCTGGGGCTGCAAGGGGATCTGCGGGAGGAGGCGGGACGGGTATCGGTGCGTATCCCCCACCGACCTGGCTGAGCTCTCGGGAAGCCGGCCCGTCGTGGTGCGCGGAGGGAGGTTGGGGAAGCGTGAGAATGTCCGTGCGCGCGCGCCCGTGGTCTCGGGCTCGCTAGCGAGGGGTGGAGAGAAACGTCCGGGGAGGCGGCGGCGACCCCGAGTGGAGGTGGGTGTGGAGGAGTCTGATCCCTGTGGCGGGGGACTCGTGGTGTGGCGTGGGATTGGTTGGAGCGCTGCTTGAGTAGGGGACGGGGAGGAAGTCTATACACCTGGAGTGTTGGGGCGGGGGAACTGAGGAAGGCAGGCAGGAGTGAGAGACCGCAGGAAACTGGAGCTTGTTCTCTCTCGGGTTGGGAGTATTGAGGAATAATGTCATCTGTAGTTAGTTGGCGGTGTAGGGAGGGGATGAAGAAGGGGAATAGATGAGGAAGTGAGGAAAGAAGGAGGCACCGTGGACAAGGTTGAGTTTTCCAGAAGAAACTGGGTTCGAATCAGTGTAGTTGGGAGATACCATTCTGAGAGTCGTGTGTATTCCTTAAGAGTGGTATAAGGAGCTTGTATGTCAGAGGTAGAGTAACAAATGGATATAGTGTGTGTGTCTGTGAGATGTGTGTCTGGGTAGGGGGAGGGCAGCGATTGATGCACATTTCAGGAAGAGAATGCAGATAGCTTGGAACTTAGTACATGATGGCGAGAACAGATTGAATGGAAGGACACCAGCTTTTGTGCAGCCAGAAAGGTTCCATGGACGCTGAGTAAGAGCTTAGAAGCAGAAGTAAAGAGGGTCAAAAATCTAGGTAACAGAGAAAAGTAAGGTTATTAGAGCCTGAAATTAATTGGTGAGTGACTACTGCTTAGAAAAAGGGAAGACTTAAAAATTAGTTGTTTTTGTCATTCCGGAGCAGAGCTAAGAAAGGCAGGCCTTATGGAAAGATTTTTTTTTTTTTTTTAAATTGTTTCATACCTTGTGGAGGAGGGAGTTGGATGAGGTGGAAGTCTGAAATAAGTGGAAAAGTCACTTTAGCTGTTTAGTGAAGTGAAAGTATTGATGTGTGTGGATCCCCATGTGTATATTTCAAGAGGTGTGTAGTTACATGATACATACGGTGGCCATTATAACTTTTTAAATAGTAAAGTTTTATTAAGCAAGATAGGGAGAGGAGAGAATGATGAGATATTTGGACTATGCATGAATGCCTGATTTTAACACAGCATATGTTCTCAGTGACCATAGGACAGATAGAATGATGTCTGTAATTTGAGGACCTTTTTTCTCCTCAAATATTCCTTTGTTGTTTAATATATCAAATAAATACAGCTATGACACATCTATTGTAGGTGATATAGAGAGAGATGGAAACCATCAGGGTGCTGATTAGTCTTAAGGAATTTGCAGTTGAGTATCTATTAGGCAAGTAAGTTAATAACAGCACGGAGTGTAAGTATCATAAAAGATACCAAGTGTTTTGAGTCCAAAGGCAGGAGATCACCTGAACAATGGGAGGTAATCAGGAAAGACTTTCTTTGTTCATTTGCTCATTTGTGTACTCGTGATTCATTAGTTGTTTTCTTGATCACCTGTATGGGAGGCATTGTACCAACATCTGAGAATAGAAAAACTCCACCCTTCATTTACAGAGCTTACAGTTTGTTAGATTTCAAGAAAGTGGCAATTAGGATATTGTTCATCCTTAATATTCATTTTAACATGTGAATTGAGAACAGGGGAATTCCAAATGGAAGGAAACTGAGCAGAGTTACGTAGATAGGGAAGTTGGGGGAGGGGAGATGTTCAGTCCAGGTAGATGAGAAGGTAGGGTGATACAGCTGGGAAAGCTTAGATAGAATTGTGGGGATTATCAAGTTTGACCCTTTCCTTTTACACATGAGGAAAGTAAGCCCAAAGAAGGTAAAATTGTTGAGGGTCATATAGCTGATATGTGGAAATTAACTCAAATGTAGGTTTTCTAACTTCAGGTCACCTATAGTACATTGCATGTCAGTGTTCATCTGTTCTTTCCACAAATACAAGTTGAGAACATACTATATTCTAGTGTTGAGGGTACACTGGTGAACAAAAGGGTGAACATGGAAGGATATATTATAGTAGAGGGACACAGTCAGTAAACATAGCAGTTAAATATATATCAGGTGGTCACAAGCACTAGGAAGAGAAAGTAAGACAGGGATATACTGTTATATCTGGACAAGGTGGTCAGGGAAATCCTAACTGATAAGGTGACCACATTCAAGAGGATCCTGAATATCATGTTTTGTACTCTATAGTAAAAATGGTTAGACAATGGAGAATCTGAGATGATTTGTTAGAATTAATATGTTCATAGCTATGTATTAGGAAAATGACTCTGTTTGTGTGATGTAGCGGTGGATAACAGAGAAAAGTAAGGTTGTTAGAGCCTGAGGTTAATTGAGAGTGACTATCCCTTAGAAAAGGGGAAGACTTTAAAACTGTTTTTTTGTTTTTTTTTTTTTTTTTTTTTTTTTGGTAAGGTTCTATCCCTTACGAAAGGTTCCCTTTGGGACTTAGGTCCAAAATGAGGTAGTGGCAGGGGATCTAGAAAGTTGTGAAAAGCAAAATGGCAGAGTGGTGGTACTTTTAATGGGAAGATTAGTGGACTTTGAGAGGATTCTTGTTAATGTACCTTATATTTTATAAGTTGACAAGGTAGGGAAGACTTTTCCTTAGGTGTGGAATCAGTGAGATGTATATCCCTGTCTTACTTTATTTCTCTTCCTAGTGTTCGTGACCACCTGATATATATTTGACTGCTATGTTTGCTGACTGTGTCCCTCTACTATAATATATCCTCCCATGTTCACCCTTTTGTTCACCAGTGTACCTTCAACACTAGAATATACTATGTTCTCATCTTAGCTTGAGATGAACTTAGTTCTTTGAAGAAGGGAGAAAAGAAAAAAATTGAATACAATGATATTTTTCAGCGAAAATTGAACAAGCAAAATGGGAGAGGCATAGGTCCTGGTGTTCCATAAGGATTCCTGGAGCCAGTCTTGTGTCAATATTATGCATTTGTCCTAAGTAAATTAAAGCAAGTGTTAGAAGTATGAGACCTAGGTGATGGTGGTAGAAATCATAAATAAAGGCTTGTCCCAGTCCGAATTTCCCTCTTCCTCTTTTAGATAATCATTCCATTTAAAGTCTACAGTGGGGACACTAGAGAATGTCTTTAGGGAAGCATTATGTTCACTTTCTTTGAAAATAGAACTGTTGGTTTTTATAGACACCTCAGGGAGGATGCCAAGTATTGCTGAATGGATGTGGTTGCGGAGGGTATAGCAGTTGTTTTTCATGACCTTGGCTTTAAGAATTTTGTTGCCTACCTTTGTCAGTGGTAGAAGATCATGACTGGGCAATTTTTAATCTGCATAGCTACAGATCCTACCTCATGTAGATGAAAATTGGTTTTGTCTCAGCTGAATTTTTTAACTTGTTAGAGTGAATGAGCTGGGATATCTGGTATTGAAATGGTGGGGTGGTGGGAAACCAAGGCACAAGACGGCCGTTTCAAAAGGGTCAGAAATGAAGATATAAGGTAAGAAGCCTCAGTAAGACCAATAAAGAGAGAATTCAGCATCAGGGGAACTGAATTAGTCTCAAGTTGTAAAAAATAGAGCAGAGAGGAAAGGAAGAAAACCTATTCTCTGTGTGGGAAAGGTGATGATATTCCGAACAGGAAAGGATAATGAAATTTTTTGTTTGTTGAAAGGTAAGTATCTTTTTAATACACTGACAAGACTCATACGTGAATCAGTTAAGTTGAAAATGCTTTCTTATGTTTTATAAAAATAACAAATGGTCTTAAATATGGGTGTTCTAGGCTGAATCACACTGGAAATTACTCAAATTGAAGGAAAATTCAGAGTATTTTCTCTTTTGATTTATGACAGAATGAAAGATTTATAAAGACTTTGACACCTCTGTTGAATAAAAGAAAAGGGTGTATTGAATATAGTTCATTTGGTGACGGTAGGAAAAGGTGAGGATAGGCTGTAGGTGAGGTATAGTATGCTTTAAAAGAATGGCATTTTGAAAAAAAGATAAATGGAAATTAGCATATCAAAGTTGGAAAAGCAGGAGTGCGGGAAGTGTTAAAGTACCAGACAGAGAAGACATCAAAGTTGTTTTGGAAGATAAGAAAGAATAATCATAGCCATAGGGAATACCAGTCAAACAGGTCAAATCTTGTTATAAAAGGTGGCACAGGTGCCGCCGAATGACATCTGCGGCCGTTGTGGGAGGCACTGTTCATACTCTGTATTCCCTTCAACTTTCCTCCTTACCCGTCCTTCACTATTCTCTGTCTTTAATTTCTTCCTATGCTGTGGATGTTTCAGTGAGATCCACTTAAAGTGGATTCCTACTGTTAAATTCCTTTACAGGAAAGGTCCAGAAAGCATCTGTTTTGGGGTGTGTGTGTGTGTGTGTGTGTGTGTGTGTGTGTATTTTTTTGGTATGATATATCTGTAGTGAAGAGGCTGCATTTCAGTGACTCACTTGTCCGAAACTTTGTTATAATGTAATAGCCACAGGGTTGTTTTCTAAGCCAGCAGGAAAATGGTTGTCATTTAAATAGGAATTTAAATATCCAATATGGTATAAAATAAAAATGTATCACTATAAATCTTGGAACAGAGAGAGAGAGTAGGGATAAGGCTGGATAAAGTAGCAAGCTGAGCCTTATCCTATCCTGGGGAGAGGAACAGAGAAGATAGTAGGAGTATTAGGAGGAACATACAACTAAATAGGATGGGCTCCAGGTTCTAGAAGAGTCTAGTAATGCTAGATCAGGTCGTCACTGTATCCTGAAGCTTCTAGAAATCTTAGAGCACATGCTGATTTTAATCCATGTGATCCTCGAAGTCTTCTTCCTCTGTCCCATTCCCTTCCTTTCTACCATGTACATCCTTTACAGAATGTAAAGTAGCTTTTGTCTCAAAATATCAGCCAAATGTGGTGAAAGTATTTGAACGAATGACTGTCTCTTTAGGCTTACAAGTCTTTGTTATGACAGTGTTAAAAGCATATTACCTGCTTGGATATTTTCTGAATAAATTACTTTGGCAGTTAATTTGGCAGTTAATTTACGCTTCCCCTGTGGTTTCATTTGGATTCAAAATGTATACTTCCTG